TGCCTAAATGCTTATGTTTGCAGATCGTAAATGTAGGATTTTCTGATCGTAAGAGGCCCTTTTCAATGATAATTTCCCTTGCTCTACATGAGACCGAATGTAATCCACCTATTTGAAGAACACCTGTGTAGTTCTCATACGGTTTAGTAATATTGGAATACAAAAATCTAGAGTTGGGGATATATTCTGGTTTTCTTGGAAACTATAAGGTATATATAGACCGTGAGAACATTTCTTCTAGATGCTTTAGTAGAAGGTATAGAGTTTTTTCCATCGTGGACTGAGCTTTCAGTTCATGAGGGATTTAGTAACAACTAAAAAACGACGTATTCCTGGAATTTTGACTGCAGTTAGAAAACCAATTACAAAGAAAAGATGCCCACGTTATTTGCACTTAAATGTTGCATAATTAATGAGCATTTAACATTTACGTTCAATTAAATGAAATGCTGATCACAGATTGAAATTTGCGAGGAAGCAACAAAAAAAATAAGAAAAAAACCTTTTAATTCAAAGGCTGTTAATACTTTATCGGTCCGCTTACATTCTCAATTATCTCTGGCCTTTAACGTTCGATTGAATCGACTAAATGGAATATTCTTGTGAAATTGTGTGTTGACTTTTAATTTATTTTTGAAGTATTCAGTAGCATATCTTTTTATTTCCTGATAATGAATATACATTGTTGAATACATTAGGGCCTGGCAACTGGCGGTTCAAAAATATTTGTTATTACTTTTACGCTTCATGTGCCTCAGGTCATAATTATAAGTAGTTTGTAAAAACATGCCATTTTTTTTATCATATAATCAAATTCATATCTGCGTTGTGCTGCAGAAACTAGTTTGAATTTTATCTTTCACCTTAATAATGCCTTTCTATTAATTTGAAGTCTTATTGGTGCATTTTTCCAGTATATAACTGAATAATATGGACCTTTTCTCAACATCAACTTTACTGACTGAAAATCGAAGTAATGCAAACATAATGATAGTAAGTAATGTGATCTTTTCGATTGTTATTTTAACAAAAAAAAAAAATTATGGCTAGCAGTATGACTAATACGAAATGGCCGTAGCTTTAGTGCCAGATCAGCTATGTAAATAGACGTTGGGCTTATTATCCATTACCATTGCAGGATTGTCCATTAGAGAGGACAAAGTAGTTGTGTAAATAAATCCCTCTCCAAAACCTGTCGGGTAACGCAAAATGTATGCACAAAGTATTCATTAATTTCAATTTAAACTACTTGTGTACTTGTTTTCGGATTCAGTGAATCCTAAACTAATACTAATGAATTATCCAATTGGAAAGATCTAATGTCATATGGAATTTTTCTACGATGCATTACTTGCCTATATGTATAAAGTTTTAGGCAATTTTAAATGGACTTAAACACCAATTTAATTGCTTGGCATTAGAAAAAAATGTTTATAAAAAAATTTGATTAATTATTGATGTATACAAAGAAAATTCTAAAGATACATCTACGTCTGTTGGTATGTTGACCTTTCTGAACAAGATGACACTAACTTCATTGAACACTACTATACCACAACTTGATACTTAAATTGAAAATAACAATAGGTAAGCATTTTTATACATGTACTTAGAAAATTAAAACGTTTCTCCGAGTAAAATGTGAGTGTAATGTTAAATTGTAAGAAAGTTAGTCTACGAATGTTGTGTCTTTTAGCAGTCATGGTCTATATTACATTTAATTATGGAATTGGCTAAGAGTATTAGTAACGTAGCCATCTTAGATTAAATTGGGGTAATTTACATGGATTCTATATTTCAATAGTTAGCAATGGTGTCTAAAAGTTCATTTTGTACTTAGTCCCATTTCTTGACAAGTAAAGCTGATATATCCATACGACTTAGAGCAGACAATGAAATAAGCTTTATTTTCCACATGTGTGAATTTTAATGCTCCGGAACAGTGGATTATTCCTAAGTAGTTTCTAAACTGGAGAAAATAAATCACTTCTCTATCAAGCGGCTGCAGCGCATTTCATTGAACGTGGTTAAGTTCAAAAAGAAGTCACTGTCCGTAATGACAGTTCTTACTAAACTACTGACTCATAACAATGCACGAATAAGAACATTTTTGTCTAATTTATCTAACATTTGCCATATAGCAATTTCTCATCTTAGTACTCAGCTATCTAGCAAATTATTTACCCTAATATTCTTAATCCCCTTTGAGCAAATGAGACATACCTTAGTTTTAGTAATTTAACTGAGTAAATCATGAGCACTCGGATTGTTTTATAGCCCCTAACAATAAAATTTACTGCTCAGCTTGGTAGACTAAGGCATTATAACCATTAATCAGGTACAAAGCGGAGTTAGGTCCCTAAGAATGTAACGGTGTCAATTTTACAACCATTTATTACACCACCACATTCAGAAAATTCGATCTTTGATTAACCGGCTAGAAAAGATCTGCTGTTATTGATCAAAAGAATGAAATAAATGTTCTGCTTTAATTACAAAGCGTCGAATCGAAGTAAAGACACTCCGGAAATGTAATATGCGAATCCGCAATTAAATGGCATACATAGAAACAACTAATAATAGTAGGCATATATTTCCAATTGGTCGCCAGATCCGCTACTATGGATCAATTACGTTGATAATCTTTTGAAAAAGACCAGCAAATATACCTCTGAATAACGGAAAAAATTAGGCATGGCTTGACAGCACACAAAACAAATATTATATACAGGATGATTCTTTTCATGCAGCTCAGTCTATATTTGTACAACAGAACGGGGCGTCAACACCAAGATTACAGGACACAAGAGAAGCTGAAGATTGGGACATGTTTATAACTTAACACATCACTTCGTTCCAAGAGTTACTTGAGAAGTCATTGAGATTTTTCAACACCCATAAAAGTTCAACAGAATAAAAGAGGACAGTGAATTAAACCAGAATTGAAGGCAAACTTTGTGCTGTGCACTAGTTGCGCATAAACCCAGAGCGCTCCCGTTGCCCTACTCTTTTCCCACACTTAATCCACAGGTTTAAAGTGGTATAAATACAGCAATGGCACCAGTTGCAAAAGCAGAAGCTCAGAAGAAGCAGCTCAGAAGAAGCAGCTGGATTGAAAACTGTTCAACATTTTTATCAGTGACGACACCAGCGCTGCAAATAAATATGTATTGTAATCGAAAGAGCTGAGACCGAAAAGGGACACAAAAAGGAAAAAAGTAAACGCAGCCAAATTGAGAAATGCAAACTTATGGCCAAGATGTTGTTAAGAAAGTCAATAAATGCAGGCTGCATATCTTAGGAATATTTTTCCAATGGCGTGTTTTGGAAACTCACCGTTACTATCGCCCGCAAATGCTCTCTTAAACTGACTTCAATTAGTCAGTTAATATAAGTTGGTAAGATAATTAATGTCTAAGTTATGCTACGTAACATTGCAGGCGAATGGAACTATATTAAGGTTTAAATAATTTCCGAGGACGCGTTAGTTTCGAAAAGGTTAAATCCAGAAACTCAATGTTGTTTGGTCAGAAATTTACCCGATCTCTAAGATAGTGTTGACAAACAATATGATTTGCACAATATTTTTGTCCTCACATTCCTAAGTAGTCTATATTTTATGGTCCAAAAGAACAAAATACAATTTTGTATAATTCAATTATCTGAGCTTAGGTATAGTTTGTTACTATAATAAATATGCATCTGTCCAGGCCTAATATGGATTTCCAGACGATCCAGATTCTCACTTCTTTAGCAGACATTTATTGATTTTATATCCTCATTACAACATATCGAATAAAAAACCTGGAACTAAACGATTCCCGAGAAGAAGTACCCAATTAAAGCAATTATAAACTAGTACACGAACAAGCATCCAAAATGTTTACCACCAACAGTTAATGATGCAAATATATATCTGTTTTGAGAGCACCCAAAATATTTTAAAATTAATTTTGCCTTTGTTGAACATCTAATTATCAGCTTATTTGCGCGAATTAACGATAAAAATTCTAATCAATTTCTATTTGTTCATTATTTACTTGTACGATAATTCTAACGGAGTAACTGATTCGGTCTGGCAATTACGAAACGTTGTGGCTGAAAATTAATATTAATTCACATTTATTTTTTGACCATTACTTTTCATTATCATGAATAATATATAGTTTTGTGTGCTAGCATATTAATTATTTCATGAAACGTATGCATTTTTAAAATGAATTTACATGCAAACATTTAAATGAAAAATTAACACAAACAGGCGTCTGTCATAATATGTTACCCCTATATTGATCCAATATTATATAGCATATATTTTGCTACATCGAGAATCGCTATTAACTGCAACTATTATGGTAATGTTTTCGACGTTCAATTTTTTCAGATCACATAAATTATTCTTAATAACCAGATATATACCGACTCTAGTTTTCGTCTTTTTTTTAAGGTAATTTTTTTGCACTTTATACGGTGCATAGTTACATTCGCTTATACGATAATTTAATAAAATTATATTCAAAGAAAGTATCAAGGTGGGCTGAAATATCACCGTAAGCGATAAATACATTTAAAATATCATCATTAAAGTACTATTTAAATTTTTTAAACTCCTGGAAATAAAATATCTCTCAACGTTAATGTAGAAGTGTGTACGCACTGAACGTTTTTATTACATTTTTTGCAGGAATGGGATTACGTCTATTTTGAGGTAATTATCGCTCACTGCGCGGTTATATTAAATGAGGGTTATTTGTTCAAGAGTTCATTTTGCAAACTAAAATATATATTTTTATTTAACAGAAATACCGACGCAAGAACTGGATCGTTGAGCCTCCTCTCAATTTTGCCTTTATTAATTTAAGAGAATGGCTAGCAACATTACACGATCAGCTTCTGAAGTTATCACTCCATGCAAGAAACTTTGGGTCACTTATTATATTTCTCAAAATGTTCCAGAGTATTGTGCGTTTCAGTTATGAATTGTTTAGCGTAATACTTACTGCCTTCGTCAGTGCGAATTAGTAAAGTTGTATTTGGACCGAATCCCTCGGGGTTGAAAACGCTTAAGCCAATGTGGTAGGAAGTATGAGGACGTAGGTTTGTAATTTTGTGTGCCTGAAACAGAATAAAACAAATTGATATTTAATGGAAAGTATAGAACATAATTTGAGTATCATTCAATGTTCTAGAAAATATTAAATTAATATCATTTGTTCATTGATGAGTAATTAAATTTAAACTTAGCTGGACACTTTGGAAATTATCAGAAATATTTAAACTGGTAATTTATAGGTGGAAATGTAGCAGCCGGCATATTTTTCTTATTGCAAATATTGAATTTTGATAAGAAGTACTACAGTTACCCAACTTTAATTTGAGTTTCCTGAATGGCGTTCCTAATTTTCTGGCGGAATCTTAATTAGACTTTTTAAGCGTTGCTCAAATAAGATTATGAACGATTTAGCAAAATAAGAAGAATAAAGAGAGTTCTCCTTTATTTTAAATCTGTTCTAATTAATATTTTACAGCCATTTTCTTCGTAAATTTTGTTAGGAAACTGAGGTTTATTGAAATAAACTCCAACTTTTCCAGTAATTATTGAAGCATAAGCAATTTGCATATTACCCTGAGTAATAATTTAATAACGTAGACTCTTATTGGAATTGAATGCTTTAGTAGGCAAAGAAATGAGTCAACCGTCATTTGATCATGTATTATTTTTAAGTAAAACAGTTAAATTATTAGTTTTGAAATTGTTTAAACAATAAGCAATTCATTTTCGGTTATGAATATTCGTTTAAATGAATACGAATTATTTTGATACATATTATAGTTAATTATATTTCAGATAACTTCGGTTATCAATACATACTAATTATTTTCATAAGCCTAAGACGAACCTTCCAAGAAAGATAATGTTTAGCAGAATTACGAGCAGCAGCTCCACTTTCATGTCTTTTCATCTTTAAATTTAATTGCTGCCTGTTGCTTGCATAGCGTCAGTACAAGAGAGAAACATGCCAAGTCATGCGGAATGTATCGCAAGCAGCTAGCAATACGCAAAGCTCGAATTTTAACATAATTAATCAAATTCTAACTAGTTTGGTACCATGCATAAGGCAAAGCAATAAAGCAAAAGTCAGGCAAACGGGAATTAAGTTTAAAACAATAATTAATTCGTCAAACAATGTTGTATCGTTGTAACTATCAGTGCATGAAGGATTTAACTTAACAAGATCCGATATGAAGGTTCCAATAGCATTCATAATCTAGAATTTATACATTATACATTTAGCTAAAATTACAAAAATTGTTGAAAACTTATCATCAATAATTGCATTTATCCATTTCTTAAATTTCTTAATGCATAACTTTGTTTCTGCTTACTCCCTGCAGTAAAATCTGTTTTAATATATTCGAAATTTAACAAAATTGAGCAATATTTCAAAAGTGCCATCGGTACACAACTGTATTATCTCAAGTTCGATTACTTCTAAGCTCTGCTTATGAGCGGAAACGTTGAGCTTAATTCTCATATTTTAGCATTCTTTATGACACGGAAATGCATAAGTAATTACTGAATAATTCAGTTCTGATGCAAATTGTAGCATACATAATCCTCTAGTACGAATAAAAGTTGCAATTGCAAGATTAACTAAATATATAAATTAAACGGTTTAAGCCAAACAGGGAGATCCCTAAAAAATGTTGTTTGGAAATATAGACGAAAAGACGAAGAAATTATAATTAAAAACAGTCTAATTTTCCGTTAAAGAAGAACTTTGCAAGTTACAGATACATAAACATAAAGTGAATAGAATTTATTATTTTGCAGTGAAATGATGCATTTTAATATAAATTAATATTTAAGCAAAATTTGTCTCATAACAAAGTATAGACGTATGAGAAATAGTTTTATACTTTAAATTCAATAGTATTGTTATCAATTAGCAAGCTTTGCTGTACTGGGTAAAGTAATTAAAAATACATTAGAGTAAGATATATAAATTGATAAGAGAAGGTCCATATAATTTATTAAGTCCGGACAATAAATTTAAATATAAAAATTTCACGGGTACGATCGCTTATGAGACACTGGTTGTAAAAATGAAACTTTGTAATGGATCATCGCTATTTTATATCAGCTTGTCACATTATTGTTGCAGCTTTCCTGAACATAAAATGTCACATTGTGAAACATCAACTATTTAACAGTTTAATGTTTATAGGAGATGAACGTATTGTGGGTGTGTTGGTTGTTTTTTTGTATCAAAAATTATTTTTTCTACTTACAGTAACACTGGAATTTCGAATGTACTTCTCTTCAGTTAGATTGTTTCCGCTCAGCGGTCTCCAGGTCAGACGATACCCCAAAAAGTCTCCATTGACGTAGTCGATATTAGGCTGATTCCAACTGAGGAACACTGAATGATCCGACACGTTACGGGCAGTGAAAGGAATTCTTGCTTCTGGAACTACAGAAACAATAATAATAGCTTAATATTACTAAGGTAATATCTTTTATATTAAAGGGACTTTATATCAATTTTTCTTCGCACACTTCATCAAAAATCAAAAGGGATAGATTAGCGTTAGTGTAATTGTTTAAAACGGAAAATATGCAGAAACATAAGGCAGTGAAATGTCCCCCTATTTAGAGTAAAAATTGATAATAATCTCCCTAGAATAAAATGTAAAATTGGTTGAAATTTAATGTTATAATTATTACCTCGATTGCTGCCATAAATTGGCACAATTAATTTAAAACAGTTTGATTGAACCAATCTCCACAGCATACATGAGTAAAGCTTCGAAATGACTGAAAATTCTGACGATTTCATTTTATGTGTATGTCAAAGCTTTGAATGACCAAATACGTGGCAAAATGAATTCCGAACATGGCATCGTGTGTTTAGAAGTTAAAAAGCACGTCTTTACAGCAAAAAGGCAGAGCCATAAATGCTCGCACTAGATTAAGAACCTATATAATATAATTATAGCAACTGTTCGAGGTGCGGCCAGAAGATGGACGGGACATGCTTCGAAAACCACTATTTTAATCTTAATTAATTCAATGGTTACGATTCGAATATGTAATAGTTAGGGAGCGACGACAGTTGAATTGGATTTGGCGTATGTTGAATATACCCCAAACGGTACGGGCTCAAATGCGTAATGAATTAAATACAAACACAAAGTTATGCTTGAGATATAATTAATTGGGCATCTGTAAGTGCTATGTGAGCCTTCAAAGTGCGTACAGTGTTAAATATGTGGTTCTTTTATTTGTAATTTGGCTTTGACGCAATTCGATTTAAGATACTGTTCTGTACTAAACCCCCTGTTTGTCATCAATACTGACCAAGAACTTAGAAGGTCCCTCAAAATAAACTTTAATCAGATGCAAATAAACATATCGTGGACATAAAGCTGAAACTGACCAAGTATAAAATATAAATTTTTGGTAGATGCATTTTGAAACCGAGCCGAAAGTTATATGAAAATTCTATTGGAAACTCTGTCATTAAAAACACATTTTAATGCATCTATTTTTGTGACCTTGGGGGACTCTGGTCCCTGGGTCAACTTTTAAACTAAAATATATAATAATATATAAATAAATAATATATAAAAAATATATATTTTTTCACTTATTTGGTCAACCCAACACAAATACGGAATTTTGCACTTGGTCACTTTTAGCTTTAATCCGACGATATTATCTTTGGCGACTACTTCTGGGTAAGGTAACTTGTTCTCCCAAATTTGTGTAGGGATATAAATAAGTTTTAATATTTAGATTTAACACATGTGGTTGCGCATAATTAATCGATTGGCGATTGAATGAAATAAACTTACTTTTCCTAGATAATAGAAATTTCAATATCTAAGAATAACAAACTATTTGGTTACTTACCAGTTGATTAAATGACTTCGAAAATTCGAGAGCAATGAAATTTCCAATATTCTGAAAATTTACATTCAAAGAATCTGCATCAATAGAATAATTTAAACGCAATTAACTAATTGAAAATAGGTATAGCATATCAATATGTCAATATAAATGATTAAGCCTCAACAGCAAAACGGGAATTTTTACAACATTACTCACGAACAAACCGTATCTGGCTTCTATTTCTGCAACTTTCGCCAAATAGCCCAATAACAGTTACCAGTTAAGATTTGGTAATGACATTGATTTGCATTTCAAATTTTATCGCTTAGTTGCCTTTTTATGGATTTTTACTCTAGGTAAATTGTAGCCAACTTGCATTTTAAATTCTTGAACAAGAACCCTCGGATTAACGAACACGTTTCACTTTAGAATTCCACTTTTGCTTTGTATAATATTCAACTCGTTAAAATCAGTTTAAGATAGATTTGGTAATTCCAATGAAGGCAGTGAAAAAAATCGAGTGCAAATTCCATAGATGTAAAGTAAATTAACACATAAATAATCAAAGGTTGCTAGCTAAAATTTTGCGAAACGTTCAACTAAGTCAAAGTTTTTTGCTTCTTTTAATATCCAACTAGCATTAGTTGCGGCTGACACGATATTAGGTACCTAAAATATTAAATTAAATTTTAATTTAATTTAGTATTGTAGGTGAATTGTCGGGTTCCCAGGGTTTATATGGCAGCCGCATTACTTTAGTTTCACTCTTATTATAAATTATATTAAAAATATTGGTTATTATATTCTTGTTTAATTGGGAGGTTTTAATAAATTATTGGTTCGGGGTACTGATTTTGTCACGTCAAATGTCCTTCTGACTGATCCAGTTAAGACTAAAAATGCAAAGTTAGAATGTGTGCGCTGCCTGCATGATTATACTAATTTCTCTAAAGCTTTAATGTTTTAAACAGTACACACATACCTTGGTTGAAAGGCTCGTGATGTTAATAGTTTTCAACTGGGTATTCAATTTCAATGAATTTTATATTTAAATATTTTAACTTAAAACTCATTTATTGCTGGCATTGCATTTCAACTGAAATTCGAAACTAACACAATTTCTGTCTTTGAACAATAATCGCTTATGAATGGTATATTGAAAAACAGTGATATCATAATAAACCATAAAACAACGATTCAATTAAGTTAATTGTTGTAAATGTCGTAACCTATGAGACGAAAAAGCTAACGTTTCAAATTTGTTAATAGTCCTCAAGGTATTATCATGACAGCATCCTGGGTTTCATTTATTAGCCTCTCTTGTAGTTGGCGATGTTGAAAAGATGATGTTTCGTATTCGGAAAGTTTATTCCCACTTGGAGGCATCAGAGGATTTTCATCAGCTAAAAACGTGCAAATCAAGTTTTCACAATTCAGACACTTTGACAATTGATTTTTAACGCCAAGGCATTGTAATAGCGCTTATAAAGAGCATTCTATTCAGTTTTGAATAACGACCGTCTTACATTATATAACTTCAATTAAAAACTTTATCACAACTATTTTAAAGGAATAGTTTCCATTTAGAGTTAATCCAAGGACTGCTTTATTATAAGGAAACTTTAAGTGCATTTATAAATTAGCGGCTTTATCCTAAAGCCACATCTTCAAATACAATTAAATCAATTGCCCTCACATTTTTTCTTAATTAAATAGGGCGACGGAAACTCTAGCAAAAAGGAAAGGACTGACATATCTTGAAATGAATCTAGGAATAAAGTCATTAATAATGAATAGAAGATTTAGTTCAAAAAATTAAGTTTCTCGATAATTAAACGTTGGCTTCACGATAACAGTGTAGACATTCTTAAAAGAATAGTCACATTCGGTACATTTAAATTAAGTTTAATAGGGTAGCAGTTCTACAATCAGAAATGAGTGATAATTACTTTGGTGTACACATTAACAAAATAATAAAAATAAATCAAAAACGGTTAATCATACTATTTGGAAAAATTGCAATACAATGTGAAAGCATATGAAGAAGTTATAAAGCCAGCAAAAAAATATGAAAGTATATGCGAAAATCATCAGACGAAGGTTATTATACAGCTATTTCGGTGATATGTATAAAACGATAATATGAGCGAGCTGATTTTATGAGGAAATTGCGAACTATATTCACACATTAACCAATCAGGCAGAAATTTGTAGTGAGGAGTAAATACAAAAATACCAAACTAAAAAGAAATAGAAGACTGATATGTAATAGAAGATGAAAATTTACAGGGAACGAATGGACAACCTTTCCAACGTAGAAGAAAGAAAAAGTTAAATAAGATTCTATTTTGGCAAGTGGCAACACTATAAAATAAGTCGGTATTAATTGTAGTTATTAATACCTTACTAACAGCTACACTGCACACAGCAAAGAACATTTCAATGAGCATTTCTAAGTATTTTTCCGAAGTAGTCAACAACATCTATTGCCTCTGAAACTTAAAAAGTGAGAACCGTAAATCGTTTTCCCCCAATACTAACGCAATATTATCAAAGTCTATGAACAAAGCGAATTAAATACGAAGTGTAAAATATTATCCCCCGATATACATAAGTTCGATATACTGACTTCGTAACTTCTACAACAAGAAATAAATAATTGTAACTGTGTCAAATATGGTCAATAAATTGTCCTCATCTCTGCGGTTATCCTCCAAAAATCAGGGGTCCAAATATTATATATCACAAAAACTTTTACAGCCATTTACACTAAACATATTACAACGCAGTAACTTTCGTGATTCATTTGCTCAGAAATTTTAGAGACAATATATTTTCGCGGGTCGTAAATACTCTTCATCGCACACATGGAGTTCCAGGATGTGAAAAACAGTCCCTCTCCAATAATAAGTGTGGAAAGCGAAGTGGAAAAATTAAAAAGGTTTTTCGAGACAGCGCTTTGTGTGCTTGGGATAGGATGATGTCTATATTTTATAACTATATTAGAAAGAGTTTCAGCCTGGTTTAGGACGTTTCTAATTACAAAATAGCAAATGATCTGCAGGCACATGTTCACAATGTAAAATTTTGCACATTGATTTTGGTAGTTTGATTGTAAATATAAAATAATTGGACTTTGGGATGTCAAAGGTACTTAAACAAGAAATAAATTTATATATAAGATATATGCTATAAGACTTGAAAAAAGTCACTGAGGGCCGGTTGCACGACACCAGCTCAATCCCAGTTCAAAACAGGTTTAAGTGTAAATTTGTGGTATTGACTTCAAGTTCAGATTGAATTCACTAGAATCAAACTTACAGTTGAGTGAGAATTAATTTCGTGATTTCCGAATCTAGTTTGAACATTCACTCACTCAAAAAAATGTATCTAAGCTTAAAAAAGTAAACTGATTTAATTGATGCCAAATATTAAATGATTAATTTAGCACAAAAAATTAAGTTGCGATGATGAATAAAAAGGCTGCTGTGCTCGGCGCTCCCAATAGATGCAGTTATAAAACTACCCGACAACCATGTTAGAACCATACCAACGTTTTAATAGAAAACTTATTTTGTTGATTTCATCTTGAACCACATCTATTAGTGCGTATCCGAGAATAATTAGACAATGATGAAGCAATTATAGGAGGACTGTTTGCCGAATTGCATGCATGCAATATGGAATCATAATATTTTGGTTGATGCGTACATCCCGATACGTTCTATGTATATGCTCATAAATAATCAATTCAAATGCGGTAGTAAATACAGGCTTGAACTGTAATATAGCAGTAACGTTTGAAAGCAAAACAAGTGTAAATTTAAGTACTAATTATTGTTGTCATTTAAGCAAGCACTAAACCAAATACACAGTTAATTGTTTTTTTTTTCAATGTTCTGTAAAACATATAAATATAAAATACTTTAAATATTTCGCTTACTTCAAATATAGATTTGAAAAATATGTTTATTATTTTCAATTCAGCTTTATGCGTTTTGGCATGCAGCAATAAACTTAAAAATTGGCTTGCAAGCAAAATTCTTTGAGGAAAATAAAAATAAAGTTGTAAATTCAGCACTGGTATAATTAGTTATATATGGCAAAATATACTAAATAACTTGGCTATTTACTATTTCAATTTGCTTTTCGACAAAAGCAACAGTCTAAAGCGAGAAATTGGTAGCATAGCAATCGGGCTATTTTCCTGTAAATTGCTAAATAAATACTTACTTGCCTTGCATATTTAGTTGGGTATGAGTAGTACATCGGGAGAATTCAGTTAATAGTATTATTTGCGTTTTCAGTGCAGAAGTGCATAAACCGACACAGTGCTGTAATTTTAAGCATCATCAAATATTACAATCGATTACTTAAAATACAGGTTGTCGCAGAAAAACGCCATTCTCAGCTTTCAATGGAAAGCTTAGAACTAATTTTATATTACGCGAGGTATATTATGGTTCAGATTCACGAAGTAAACTGAATCATGGTGCAGGAATCTTCATTTTGTATTCCTGTCACGCAAAGCTTTTAATATTTTAGAACTTCAGATTTGTGACGGCTTTTATCTCTGCGTCTTCCATCATATTTTACGACTTGTCTGCAAATAGATTAATAAGGTAAAGTTAAAATATGGCTATAATAATGCCCCAAACTGAAATAATATTAAAACTTTGCTATAGGCCGAATTTAAATATGTCTAGGTGATGTTCTTTCTTATCTAAAATATTCTATTGTATGTCTCTTTCGGGGGAAAGAGATGATATGGTAGTAGTATTTTATTTAAGATATCAAGATTGTGCCAAAAACAAATATAAAAAAGCCGATTTACCCTTATCGGACAGGGAACAAATTTACTTCCAGTATGAATTTTTCTACTTTTCTAGAAGCGCTTTATAAGCAAAGATTGTGGGAAAGTCAATGTTAAAATGGAGACATGCTCAGCTGAATATTGCCAATATATTCCATAAATGGAACTACAAAAGCAACGCCGTATATACATGAAAACGAATTTATAATATGGAGATAGGTATCAACTTTTATTAAAGCCCTCCATATCTTCAGGACACTTTTGACGCTCTCAAGCAAATCACTCGAATAATTGTGGTTTTGTAAGTAATGTAAATGTACATTTCCGACTACAGTTAAATATTAGAACAATAATAATAATTTATATTTCTTCCGAAAAAGGCTATCGATCACATCGGTCTTTTTGCCCTTGCATTTACATGTGAGATAAATATATTTTATTAATTGTTTAAATACATTCAATTAATAATAAATCAGGATTTATCAGAATTGCTCATTTATTTACATTGAAAAATAGTAAAGTGTTATGGAATTTTGTGGGCCAACTTTCAAATATGGTTTCCAATAAAAAAATTATTAGTCTGTATCATATTTCGTAAACTAAAATTACACATCTTCAGCTATATTCGCTTTTGAACCATTTGTACCTAATACTAAAAATTGTTATAATCTGAGCTTACAAAACTTCGAACCTTTGGCCATGTACCGGCTCCAGATGGCTAGAAGTCGAAGAAAAATTGAAAATTTTTCTCAAATCTGTGTCAAAATTTACATGATGAAGCTTGAATTAAGCGTTAACTAACGACACAAATAATAATAGACAACATTTCAACATCATAGTTCAAGTTCCACTCCAACAACCCATATTTTACATATATATATTGTAATTCATATAAAGTTAAGCATGAGAGCAAAAATGGCTGAATTTTATTGTTGAATAGCGAGTCCACGAAGTAAATATAAGGTATTTAGTATTTACTGGAGTTACGATATAGCAAATTTTTAAAATTCAATTTGTCATTTATATTTAAACAACACTTGTGGAAGAATTTGTACACCGAAATATTTCCTATGAATATACTGATGTTTGATTAAGTACAATTAAGTTAAGCTTTCACACACATTTCAAGGAACTATATGTAAATGGATATCCAAAAACCTTTGAGTTAATTGAAGTATATTTAGATATAGATCAAATGGATGGAAGTTCTGCGTTCTAATGCAGATATACAGAGTGTCACACGGTTTTATTATTTGTATTTGTGCAAATATATGTTTCTTTACAAAAACTATTTATTTTTAATGAATACAGTACACGATTTTGCTTTGATTTTATTTTTCTGAAAATAATTGTGTTTATGTGTGATGACAAATTCATGTAATATAATTGCACTTATTGAATCGAAAACCCTTGCAGCTTCTATGAAAATCCAGTTATAATGAATGTCTCATGTTCCAGTATAAAACAGACAAAAAATTATACAACATGATAAGAAACTTCATGTTAAAATGCAACATTCGACAGAAATGTGGCAAAAAATGTAGTTTTATTTTCAGAGGCCTAAGATGATGGCTTTTGACAAAGGCTAATGGAAAAATATGGAGCTGCATAAAGAAGAATTTTTTTTAACACTGCAACAATTCAAATACGATCTATGAAGAAATACTACAAAAGATAGTTTTATTTCACTTCTTAAATACACTAAATGCGACTATATAGGCAAAATCCCATTTCTAGACGCAATGAGATGATTAGTACTATCATTCAAATAATTGACACCAACTGAAAGCGCACAAGCCGACACTTTTAAGCCGAGAAGAGCGAACATTTATTACTTTATCTGGTTAAAACCGACTTTGCAGATCTAGAAACGAAGATTTTAGTTCAAAAGCACTATTGCCTGGCCCAAACGAAATTTAATTTGCAATGCAATATCTCTATACATTGTGACACCCTTATATCCACTTTTGCTATTCGTATTTTCATCATCGCGTTAGGACATTTGATACAGAAATGTAATTTTCATTTTTCGAAGAATAAATCAATTTTGGAAGAATAAAGAATAACAAGTGTGCACTGAGGATCAAACCATGACGGAAATGTCGAATTGTCGGGTATTAATAATAAACACTTGTGTTCCCAATATGTAGTAGAGCCTGAATAAAAATGCATATATTTTTAAACTACGCGGACCTGAATATTTCACTTCAAGTACTTTAATAGTAAATGCATGTCAATTTAATACAGGTATGTCAAATTGTGCAATTTATGTGAAAATAAAGCCGATCAGCCTTTGCAGGATTTCCGCAGGGCGGTCATCACAAAACCGCCTAAATACATGCAAAATTTCTTTAAAATAAGTTGAAATTTAGTTGGCCGCTCTCGTCTCGCTTAATTGAATTAATTAATGCGTGTGTAATATACCTGCTTTACCTAAAACAACCATTAAACAGCATAAGCACATTCCTAATTATTTACCTTGCAAGGATCATGGAATTTTGATGAGAGTGCCAATTAGGAACCGCACTATCAAAACCGAGTATGAATATTCTCCTGAATAGTTAGTGTAATAATATTGCTACATATTTGCTTCAGAAGGGTTCAGTCGTAAATATAAGGGCCGCTATTGTAAACATATTGATAAGTTAAGAAGCCACAAGTTAAAAGCCAATACCTAAAAGTTTCGCTGTTTATTTCTGCATAGAAATGTACATCAAGAGGTCGTTTATATACTTTTAGTAATGTTAACTTATGGCAAACTTTGTTTCAATGGTTTCCTTTTTACTGTATAGCTAGAGACAGCCAAAAAAACAAATTGAGCAGCAGATATTATATAACAGAATATATAACAGATAAAAACAGGAAAATATACAGGGTGCTCGGTAAGCACATGATCAAAAGGATACTGCGATATTCTTTACATCAAAAGAAGACGATCTGACGTAACATTTATTAACAAAAAATGTTTGGCTCCTCTGCTATTAATGGTCAAAGTTTCTTTCAACTCAAATATTCTTTTTTGAAATATCGGGAGAATGGTACGATGCATTTCAGTAAAACTCGCTGTGACTTTGTTTTTATGTAAGACTCATATTTTGATGAAACAATCGAGTTAATCTGTTTTGGGCAAGTGGTGAATTCTTGAGTGTCATGGTACAAAAAATACCTGTACTGCTGTTTGTAAAATCTTGTAGCATGCGTAGTTTTTGCGAAAAAAAATTCTGTTTCCTTGCCACTTAACAATGTTAGACATTAACTGCAAATATCGTAAAACGATATAATATAATATAAATTAATTGTCAATCAACCTCACAAATTCGTTTCGAATGACCTTTTCTAATGACGAAGTGACCGACATGGTCATAGTATTAGGTTTTTGCGAATAAAATTTGCGTGAATGCCTACGCGTTTACGCGGTGCATATTTGCAGTTAATATCTAACATTGATAAGACATTAAAGAAAACAGACATATTTTTTTTTGTGCAAAAACTATGAATGCTACAAGATTTTGCAAAGAGCATAAAATAGTGAATTTAGTACGCGAAATAAGTACATCAACCAAAAGTACATGAGTTGATTCCATCCACGAAATAAAAAGTTCTGGTAGCTTTTGTTCCACGACACTCAAGAATTCCCTAGTTGTCCAAAACGGCTGAACTCGATTGTTTCATCAAAATATGAGTCTTACACAAGAACAAATTCACAGCGAGTTTCACCAAAATACATAGTACCATTCTGCCGATATTTCGAAAAGGATAAATTTTATGAAAAAATTTGACCATCAATAGCAGAGGATCCAGACATTTTTTGTTAATAAAAGTTAGGTCAGATCGTCTTCTCTCGATCCAAATAAAATCGCAGTATCCTTTTGATTATGTGTTTACGGGACACCCTGTATAAACAAAAAAGAAAGTTTAGGAACTAAACCCGCGTATGTCCACATGTTGCTGTTATTAGAGCCTGCAACTTCACATTGAATCTATTATAGGTATGCGACTTTCAATTTTCTTTTTGAGGAATGACGTCATATACTTCTTCTAACGCTAAACGCAGGTCAATGAGAAATCGTACCAGTTTTGAACGTCGACGAATTATTCAATGGAGTTGCTCCCATGGATGTTTAGTACTGTAACCGTTGAGTCTAAACATCGTACAGAAATTCGTTTACATTATGCATATGCGGATAGGAGTTATTATGCATTAATACATATGCAGTTCCAATAAAATGAGCGTAAGGAATTAAGGAAACAGCATCTTCCATTTTCGCCACAAAAATTAACTCTAATAATAAAATATGAATTTGAGAAGGAAATGTTTCCTACGAAAATTTTTGGCGTCTATGAGGCACGTATTTCAAAATTATCTGTATTATCAATATACGTGTCAGCGATTTTATTTCAATGTCATTAAGAACCGTTTCATTTCCGGTGGCCCACCCTGTATATGAGCGAGCTTAAAAAGTTTTAAAGAGTGTGGATGGAACGATGGAAACTGTTGAGAAACGACTTCCGATTGTTCAAATGTTGACGGTTGAAAATCGTCCTCCAGCCGACTAAAACAATTAAATTAAAAAGAGTATTTGGACAGCCAATGACAAAGCAGATCTCCAGCAGCTTCTGGGGTATAGAGATTACAAGTAGCTGCGGCTCCGTCTGCATTGCTACAACCAATGGAAGCACGTAACTAGGAAAACCTGAAAATGATTTCCAAAGAAGCCGCTGTTTTCTACCAAACACATCACATCTTTCACAGAGTTACAAGAGATGCTATTGAGATCTTCAATCGCCCAGATAATTGCAAGATAAAGGAAGCAATTAAACCAGAAGAAAAAATTTAAAATGAAATGTAAACATGCAGATGATGAATTTAATTTAATTTGGGCCACCGCAGTTAACTGAAAACACGAATCATGACAATCTAAGACTTAATTTGTGGCATTTTTATTTGAGCTCCTACATAAATTTATCATGGAGTTTCATCTGCATACAGCACATCTGTATTTTTAATGGTTTGATGGAATATTTACCATAAATTCTTCTGGTATTATAATAGAAATACTGCTGATTTAAGTTAACAATATATTAAATACAAAATTTACCTTTATTAGAGCACAGTACATTACATTTTTAATTAGTGAGACTTTGGCAAAGCTTCTAAAAGCATTGAAATTAATTAAATACCCTGGATCATTTTAAATGTCGATAGTCGGATTTCAGGTTGAATTAAAATTGTAACTTTATCGGGATCGAAACGCTGGTTGTTTTTCACCTACAATATTAATTTCGTTGCATCATTTATTGCCTGCGCCTATCAT